CAAAATGTTGAATAAAAGGTGTTGAATAAAAAATAATAATTTATAAAATTTCATTAATAAAAGATTTGAATAAAATGAAATGTTTATATTACTGTTATATACATTATATTATATGATTATATTTAATATTTTAATATATAAATATAAAATTGTTATACACCACAATATTACTGTTATTTTAATATCTATTTTATATATATTTATTGTAGATATTTGTGTTATCAATAAAATTTTATATTTAGTGTTTATATTGAATATAGATACATACATACATATATTTATGTATTCATAAGAAATTAGACTCATAAGAAAAAAATATATATTGTTTTTTAACTATTGCAATAATAGAAAAAATAATAATAATAATAAGAAAAAAATGAAAAAGATTACATTCACGGTAAAATTGACCTAGATTTTGAGTGTTGAAAGCATGTACCTATTTTTTTATGTATATGTATGTAGGTATTTTTCATGGAATAATAACGATAATTTTTTTTTTCTTTATAATAATTTACATCCGCATATTCACACATTTAAAAAATATGTATATATATATATATGTATCGTTATATGTTAATACATTGAAAAGACTTGAATGTCAGTGGAAATGCAAGAAAATGAAAGCACTTAAATAATTTACCTTTCTTCCTTTATGTATAATGAAAAATATTAAGAGAGAATTTTTCTTTTTCATTTATATTATTGTATATGTATATGTGGAACAGGAAAAATAGGTCAGTTAACTGATTTATTTACAAAAACAAAAGAAAAAATTTCATTTTTTTTTTTTTAAATTTTTGTATTTTGGTTTTTTTTTTGTTTCTTTTTTTGTTTTTAATATATAAATGCATAATGGTGAATATGGAAAAAAATGCATCAGTGGTGAAAATTAATTTAAAAAATTTATAAATAAAAATTTCAAATGCATACGTAAATTTAGTGAATTCTAGTTATGCATAAATAAATATTGACAATATTAATATACCTTATATACATACATTCATACACACAATTTTCATATCGAACAGGAACAACTTTCTCAGAAGCAGTTTATTCAACATTAAATAAACCATTTTAAATTACTTCTTGGGGGCTGAGACATTCAACTTGTTTACAAATTATGTTCTATACTATCGAAAACCTAAAAAAAAGGAAATGTCTGAATAAAGTACTACTTATTTTTTGAGAATTTTCAATTTTAATTTAAAATATAATCAACTTCTATGATTAACAAGAAATCTTGAACTTTATCTAATAAGAGAAATGGCTCTTTAAATAGCTTCCAAATTTGGTACTGTACAAAATTGAACCTCAACAAGAACCCCAAAATTGAACCCCAACAAGAAACTTGAATTTATAAGCAGAATAGGTAAGACAAAATTTAAGTGACATGAATAGTATCTACTTAATGAGAAGCACAATAGATCTTATCTTATTTTGATTTGCGTACATTGCCACCACAATATATTAAATTCTATTTATTTAAAATGCTTCTACAAATAAATAAATTTTTATTCTCTATAAAAGTTATTCACTTTTTTTTTTCCTGGAATATTCTTTTCTTAATTTTTGTCTCCTATTAATTTTTTTTTTTTTGCTGAAACCGTGAAATTATAAAAAGAAAATAATTATAAATGTTTTTGTTTCTTTTTTTTTTTTTTTTTGGAATCATAAAATTTTTTTAACATTAAAATGCATTAAGGGGTATATTAGTGTTTCAATTGTTTATCTTATATTCACTCTAATGACCATGACTATTACGGATGGTTAAATTTACACGAAATTTGAAATATATCCTTATTATTGTATATTTGGCACTAGATCAAGTACAAATTCTTGTGGCATTGTAGTAATGAAATAACAATAATATCTTTCTGACAAGGATTTTGGAAGCAATTCATATAAATATATTTAAGTGAAAATAAAGAATATTATGAGAAGAAAATGTGATAAATAATAATGTAATTTTTGTCAAGGTTTATAGTATTATAAAATTCAGTAACTAAGTGTTACAAACTCTATTATTTTTACTAATGCATATAAAATGTTTAAGTATATATCAATTTCAGTTTATATAAGAAAGCACATTTACTATTAATATAAAGAGCTCACAAAATCTTGATATTTTTAATTATCTTTCGTCTTCATGATTTCAGTTTATTGGCCTCCTTTAATACAAGATAAATGGAGAGAAATGTAAAATAAATAAAAACAATTTTAAATTCAAGGATATATATATATATATATTATATATTTGTATATATAGATTTTCTTTATTAATATAGTAATATTTTTTTTTTTTACTTTATTATTATTTACAGTATTTTATTTTTTATTTATTTATTCAACAAAAATGTTTATACTAACTTTCTATACTTCTTTTATTTTTTTTAACTTAATATACATTCTAAAAATATTAACATACACATAATATATTATAGCACATTGTAAATGGCAAATTTAAAAAGTGTATTTCAAAATTTTAAAAATAAAAATATTGAAAAGGAAAAATAAAGAATACATAAAAGGAAAAAATAAATAGCTAATTTTTAGGCTAAAATTCTTGTCTCAAAAGTTATAGACAAAATTCAAAAATTTTGTTAAAAATGTTTGACTTAGATATTGAAAGTTTATTTTGAGTTATAAAATGTAAAAATATTAAGAGGCACTTTTACAAAAAAAAATTTTATATAAAATTAAGACACTTTAAAAAGTTCATTTTTTTTGTCAATAACTTTGGCAAGATAATAGGCGTTTAAAGGCACAAAATTTAAAGAACACTGTCGTTATGATGACAATAGCATAAAAAAAAATTTAAACGAATAATAAATTTATCCGCATAATAAAGAATAATTTTTAGATTAGTGGTCGAAAAATGGTATTTATGCTTGTATTCACATACCTAACCAGCGAGAAGCAAAGAGGAATTTTCAAAATTTATATCTAACAAAAAAAAATTTTTAAAATAAATTCATTATTTAAAATATAAAATAAATTATATGACATATTTCATGAATTTCGAAATTTTTTTCATTAATTTTTGTGATAAATACAAAAAAATTAAATATAGATTTAAAAATAAAATAATCTTTTTCTATTATATATATATTTAAACATCCACTAATCTAAAAATTAATAATTTTATATGAGTAAATACGATTTTTTTAAAAGAAATTTAAGTTTTTTGGTTACACTATCTCGGTAAAATACCGGTAGGAACTTGAAATATTAGTGTTGCTTGCTTTTACTATAGTTTAAATTTACTGATGTTTAAAAACGTTAATTTGATTTAAGGCACATATGACAATATTCTTTGTATTACAAGAATTATAATATTTTTATGAATAGTAATTGAAAAAAAAACCAAGTTTATTTAAAAAAAATTTAAATAATTATTAATAGTGCATTTATATAATTAGTCAATGTTCTGTTGAATATTGACTTAATAATAAAGTGAGCCTTAAATTTAATAATAGGGATAATTGCATAAATGTAATTTTCATTTTATCTTGAAATGCTTAAAATCATTTAATAAATTCATTAAATATATTTTAGCAACGAAAGATTTAAAAAAAAAAAACATAATATACATAAAATTAAAAGTAAATGATTACGTAACTAATTAGATTACTATTTTACTACAAACTTTGTACAATATTAATAAATTAATTTTATTGAATTCGTTCTTTTTTTTTTTTTATTTTTTTTGTTTTTCTTGAATTAGTTTTTTTTTTATTTTAATTGTATAATTGGAACAATATTTTAAAATTTAATTTTTCTTTTTTAATAAAATGAAGTAATTTTCTTATTAATACTTCATCTTTGCATAATTTTCGCTTTATTTAAATTTATTATAAATTTCAGTCCTATATATGTATATCAATATATATTTTTTTTTGTTTGTTAAAAGAGACTGTACACAATTCCTGTTGAAGAACATTTAAAATTATAAATTATAAAAATTTGAGATATATTTTTGTAAATGTAAGATCTTCTACTGTAAAAAGAAATTTTAAACTAACATCGAATGCAGAATAACATAATAAAAAAAAATTTTTTTAAACAAAGTTTTACATTACGAATATTGGACAATGTTATTAGACTTTACTAAGGTCATACACGTTAATGACTACATAAGAAAATTTATGAAATGGCACAAATTTAAATCAAATTAATTAACAGTGGCCAAATAAACGTCTTATTAATTAATAAATTGTTATTAAATAAACAATTTAATAATCTAATTTGAATGACATTTTACTTCAACATATTATTAAAAATTATGTTAAAGTGTTTATAATAAAATAACAAAAATATTATCCATTTTGTAAAGTACAAATAAAATTTAAATAGTATTTTGGGTTTTTTTTCTAAAAATCATAATTTTTTTGTAATTCTATAATAGGGAAGGAAGTGTGGCTTTTAAGACGTATAGAAATACTTGCTGAATCAATCAAAAACTATTGTAAAAATTTATTGAAACTAAGTACAGTCAATTGAAAACTTTAAAACAATACACATTTAACTCCTTAAGATACATTGCCTTACACTACAAATCTATTACACCGTATTATTTTGTTTATCCAATTAACATTTATCAAATTTTTTTTTTCTAATTTATGCTGAATAAAATAATATTTTTTATATTATTGGTTAATAAAATATTTGAGTTTGTATATTTAGATTTTTGAAATTGTTTTTATCAAGAAAATTCAATATTTCCCATGATTTTTGTAAAGGACTAATTTTATTTATATAGATAATAATATAATACATAAATAATATGTACTTGTAATTTATTATATGTATAGTTAAAGAGAACTTAATAATATTAATAATTAAATAATATCTATTATAATCTTAAATAATATCTTCCTTAAAACGTATATAATTCAATGTTTTTTGTTATTTTTTTCATCTTTTTCCATATTACTTAATTCTTATCAAGTGTTTACTTATACAGTAATTATATATATATAAATATATATATAAATATATATATAAATATATATTATATGTATATTTATGTATGCATGTATTCTTAATAAATATTTTTGTTTCCTTAATTATTGTAATTTCATTTTAAAGATACTACACAATTTTTATTGTACATTCTGTTTCTAATCTACTTAATGTCTTCTTAACGCGTAATGCTGTCAGCCTTACGGTTGGATTTGGATGCCAACATTCTTGAATTATTTTCGATAAAGTTTGTAGTAGTTCATCCTCTTGCCAACGTGATGGTATTTCAGGTCTTATACCCTTAACATTTACTACAGCATGCATATCTTCAAATGTTGGATCTGATGAAACACAATCATAATATGGTAAAGCGTAGTCTTCGCATGTTGTTGTTTTTGTTCCAATTATCGGTGTATAACATCTACGGCACATTTCCCAAAATACTAAACTCACTGAGTACATATCGGCCATTTTGAATGCTTCAAATTGTAAAGGATTTAATGTTTGATTTAAAACTTCTGGTGCCATATAACGACGTGTACCAACGCGTGTATTTTGAGCTATATGAATTTCATCCAATTCACTTATATATTTGACAGCTAAACCAAAATCAGCGATAGCACATTGACCATTTCGTTTAACCAGAATATTCTTGCTTTTAATATCTCGATGTGCAATAGCAGGTTTTCCTAAAAATAAAAAAATATATTTATCGATTACAAATCATTAACTAATTAAAATATACAATAGCTTACCAGGTGTTCCAAATATTTCTGTATGCAAATGTGATAGTCCCGATGCTAAAGAGTAAGCCAACATATGAAGTTTTTGTACTGTTAAAACATTGGTTTGCAAATAATCATGTAAACTTCCCAATTCATGGTAATCAGTTATTAACAACATTTGAGTCCAAGAACCAGTACCTTTAATATCAGCAGCAATAAAACCCAATATATTATCGTGTCGCATCAAAACTGTTTGATAAATTTCAGTTTCTCTAAACCATGATGCTTCTTCAGTTGTAAAGAAAATTTTTACAGCAACTTTTTCATCACGCCATTTAGCTAACCATACTTCACCATAACGACCTTTACCAACAGAACGAACCATTTGTATTTGTTTTGCGATTGTTCTTTGAACTAACAACGGTAATCCGGATCCAGAACCAGAAGTTTGTTCAACCAATTCAGCTAGCGGTGATAATTGACTACCACACATTGAATCCATTAATCTCGGTTGCTTTTTAATTTTTTCACGCCGTCTGAATGTCAAATAAATAACAATTGTAACAACTATAAATGCTGATATACAAATTATCATTGAAGCAACTAATGCAAAATAATGAATTGAAGGTGGATCAACAACTGAATCTTGTGGTTCCAAAGAATTGTCTTCACTAGATGTAGATTTTTTTGGTAACATTGGCAGAGCATCCTTATTACAAAAATCTGTTTGACAGCAAACAATATTTTTTCCATGTAAATGCGGTACTTGTCCAACTTTACACTAAAAAATAAAGGAAAAAGTAAAAACAAAATTAATATGATATTACTTATGAAATTGTTATCATGCATAAAAATATTCTCACAAAAATATACATATATATGAAATGTATGTATGTTTGTATTTACAATATTTCAACAAAAAATGTGATTATTTTTTGATTAATAGCATTATTATTATGAAAGCATAAAATTATAACTATAGCATTCGTTAACTAATTTGCAACTAATTTCAGTAAATTTCATTATTATGCAATTTTATATAATTTTTTTAACAAATTTTTCAAAATTAATTACATATTTGTTTTTTAAATTAAAAAAAAAAAATTTAAAAAATAAAAAGAAATTATTCAATAAACATTTCACAATAATGCTATCATTTCACCTGGTTCACCTGGAATAGTCCACCACTTTCATCTGGAGAAATACAACCAAATGTTCGTTCTTCTTCATATCTTCCATTATATTCATCATAAAATTCATCTACTGAACTAAAACAAAATCCACCAGGTTTTGTTTCACATGTGTCATTTGTATGGCTTGGACAGCTACCATCGCAATAGCAGGTAAGCACTCGCCCTGTAAATAAAAGAAAAATTGATTTTTAATTAATACTTAATTAATAAAATTAAATTTATTGAAAAATTTAAAACAATATGAACAACAAAGCAAACAAGATGCACTTAGACAAAATATCAACAAAATTTATTTATATATTTTCAATGTTTTATACAAAAAGAATAAGGAAAATTACAATATCAAGCCAATTTCAATGATTCACAAGAAGGTAATTTAAATGGAGAGAATAGTGAAAATTAATTTTCATCCCCTGTAATTGACAATATTTTAAGTGTTTTATTATGCATTATGTCATCAGTTCAATAGTGCAAGTGAAACTACACTAGCGCTGTTGAAAAATGATAACTTACTCGTATGCTTACTTATTGTGTATGTACATATAAATGTCAATCTAGACAACTCTTCTCAAATTGTCAATCTAGACAACTCTTCTCTGATTTAAATACATAAGTCCATTGTTGTCTATCAAATTAACCAAAATATTTTTCTTGACATTGCCAACACTAATTTGTAAATATTCGACAACAGTACAACATATAAATTTTAATAGAAATAAAACAGAGTTATCAAAATATTTTTTTTCGAAATTGAAAGCTAATCAAATTATTTGAATAAAAAAATAGTAATGCATTTTTCTTTCAACATACTTACACCAATACTTCAACAATCCCAATAAATACACCCCAATTTAATATCATAATTAAATACATGAAATACGTCAACAAGTGACATTAAAATTAATTAGATAATTTTATAATTACGACACCTTTTTTTATAATTTTTTTTTTAATTTTATATCATCCTACATACAAAGTATAATGAAAATAAAAAACATATTTTCTTTTTTTTAATTTAATAAGCAAGTAAAAGATTTTTTTATTTTAAATTTTATTCATTTTATTTAAAATAATTATTTTTTAAATCGAATTTTCAATTAAGAGCTTTTTTTATTTCATTAAAATTATGAAATTTTATTTCAATTATAAAAGAACGTTTTACGAATCAGTAGATTTTAAATCGAAATAAGAAGTCGATTAATCGATTTTATGAATGATTTTGTATAATGCTCAAAATTAAAATTATATGAACGAAATTGACGAAAACTGAAAATAATTATGTAATTGTAGCACAAATTATGAAATCATCAAACAAAAGTCATTATTATATTTGAAAAATACACCGTCGCCTCATATTTTCAAATATGAAACATATATCTTAATGAAATTGCAATTATATATTCATGTTTTGCACAAATTCATTAATTTATCGAAAATGAGTATTTGTTTATATAATTGAAGGTAGTGTATTCTATTGCGTATGGAATCAGGTATGTCATTTGATGCTTAAAATAGTTTTGACAAATAAATTAATGCTGTAGGCTTACTTTTAAGCTCTATAATAAAATCTCGTTTTAAGAATATGAATTGTTTAAAATCCAATTATTTGTAATATTTTGACTTGTAATTGACAAAATTCAGTTTATAAATAAATTTGTAATAAAGTAAATTTTATTTTTTTCAAAAAAAAAATTTTTTTTGTCAAAAAACTGTCTGAACTAAAAATGTATAAAAAGAAAAGAAGAATAAATTGAAATGTTTTGTACAGGAAATTGGGATTGCCCAAGCTAACAAAACATAGTAAATAATATATGTACATATTCTAATATATATACATACATGCATATGTATATTTTTACATAAGTTTCACATTTTTGTTTTTTTTTAAATTTTGTATTATTTCCGCTAGAGATCTTTTAGTACACCCACATAACGTCATAACTAATACAAAATATAATTATGTAAAAAGTTAAAAAATCATAAATCTATGAAGCATTTATTAAAAAATATATTTATATAAATTGTATATATGTACATATAATATTGAAAATGATTGGAAACACGTTTGCAATACTTATACCATATGAATTCATTCATTTATTCTCAATTCGTTCATTCATAAATTTTCTATATACTTATACTTAATTCTTACATTCACAAGATTTCTTCAATATTTTTCATAATAATTATTAAAAGTAACAGATGAATTTATGTACATGTATATTTGTGTATATGTATATATATGAGTTGCGCTTTACATGCAATTTATATAATATGCAAACTCAATATTCATATTATGTTATTGTTAAAAATAAAATTAAAGGGGCATATTATGGGGAGATTTTCTAAATAATTAAATATTCTACTATATATACATGTATGTATGTATGTAGGTAAGCAAATATAGATTTTATCTGGAGAGAAGTGAAAGAAAAAGAGAACAAAAAAAAAAAAAAAATAAATCAAATTAATTTTTTCCAGTTTTCAAAATGTATTTAAAAATAAGTCATTTGGTTCACAGCATCCCAGAAAAAGATAACAAAAAAAAAAAAAATAACGAGTGAAATAAATACCGCACATATATGAGCATGTACATACATACAAATACGCATAGCATTTACTGTAGGTTGCGGAAATTGCAGATTACATAATGAATACCAGCAGATCTTGAAAAAAAAATCTTTATTTATTGAAAATTTATGGGTTGAAGCTTCTAAATCCCATATAAGATTGAATTTTGCAATTTTTGTTTTTTCTTATTTTATAATTTTTCAATTTAATGTTTAATATTTTATCTAATTATATAAAAAATTGTGTACTATTCTATATTATATAAAGTATGTCGGAATATTTTAGTATACGCTCCATTTTGTTTTGAAAAATCATAATGATTTATTGTGACATAATGAAAAAATTATTATGACAAAATATAATTGGTTATCAATTTTGTTTTATAACTCGAATTCTATATATGTATATACATACATACATATTTATTATAAAAATTCTTATCAATTATAAAATTGAAAATTAAATTAAAAAATAATTATTAATGAAAAATATATTTGATATAATTAGGTTCATAAGCCTGTTTATTAAAAAAAAGTTTTTCAAGTATTCGCATAGGAAACACAATTTGAAACTGGTCTAAAGCGACAAATTAACTGTGTTTGTTGAGGGCAATTTTAAATAAATTGTAAATACGAAAATAGTTTTTGTTTTTTTATTAAAAAGAAGAGAAATGAGTAAAAAATTAATGACTCTTGCTTACAATTTTTACAAAAAATATTTTTCATAAAAATTTAAAAATAAATTATTGCCTCTTATTTTCTATTTTGTGTAATTTGTCTGATTTTTTTAATTTTTTCTCTGCATTAATGGTGAACAGTAAATGTCTGGTTAATCTTGCAATTTTCCCTAAGAAAACCCTTCCAGCAATATTGTTTTTCAATTGAAAGGATGAATTCAAATTTTCGCTGATTTGAGTTGAGTCTAAAAATTTTTTATTTAAATTTTTTTTTTGAAGTAACAAATGAAAATTTTGATCAAAATGTTGAATAATGACATTTTATGAGTTATTTAAATTAAATTTAGTATTAGAAATTTCGAACAACAAAATACCGGGTTTGAAAAATCTGAATTTCATCCATGCAGTAATTCACTAATACTCGTAAAATGTCTCTTTTTATTTGTGCTCTTCATATTAATTATAGTTTTTATATAAAAAAAATGTGAGTACTGCCGTCTTTTAGAAATTTTTCTAAATTAACTGAGAACTTTTAAATTACTATTAATATTTTCTATCTATTGTAACTTTATTTTTTTTCTCATCTACAATAGTATTTATATCCGGTAAAGTATTTTATATAATTTTCAATACAAATAATAAATTTAATAGACAATTTTATATGATCATACATCAAATATTTTCTCAGTCACTTGCTATAATAAAAAAAATTTTTTTTTATTAATTTCAACTGCATATATAAAACATTTCATTTAATGTATTGTATTAAAGTTATGTTTCTACATTTCTTAAATTAAATACCTAATTTTTTATAATTTATAAATGTTATATAAAGAAAATATAATAATGTATATTGTACGAGTATAAACATAGAATATTATTACAAGAATTTTATTTAGAATTCATATCAGAATATCAAAGTTTAATTCATTAATTATTAATTTTAATGTAAATATAATTAATGAATTAAAATCAATAATCTCTATAACCATTTTTATTGGGAACAACAAAAAAAAAAATTACTAATATTAAACAGTTATACAAGTTTTAATTACATTTCAAAAAACAGGAAATAATAGTTAATACGAATTAGAAATTATTTATAACCCTTTAAATAGATTACTATTAAAAAATACTAATTATTTTCTGCTTGACATACGTTAGTATTACGTATTTTTATTTAAAATAATAATTAATTTAAAACAGAGGTAAGTATAACAATTTATAATGAATTTTATAATGAAAGTCACGTTTTACAAAATGATAACGTTATACAGAAGTCAATATAAGTTTAAAATATAAAAATTGTGTTAATTTTAACATTGCGAATTTATTAACTTTTAAAAGTTTAATTTTAAGAATATTAAAGTTATAAATGATTAAAAATGCATTGAATTTTCTTAAACATGAAAAAAAGAGACAAGAATAGGTACTAGTTTTAAGGAAAGTATGTATGTAATCATTAGAAAATTAAATTTTACATGCAGAGCTAAGTTTTTGGCGTAACACCTTAAAATCAAAATTTAATAAGCAAAATGAGGTACTGTATAAAATAAATTTAATTTTAAAAGCCTTTTTAGTCAAAACTCGATGATCATAAAATGCGCCTCTCTTCAGCGCACACAATAACTTTAACATTTATGGACGAAACTAATTAATATAAGAAAATGTGCAAGAATTAATACATGAGAAGAATATAAAACAATTAAAGAAAACATATCAACACTTTCAGGTTTTTATAACAGCTGAATTATTGAATTCTCCGACTGTTTACATTTACATTTAAAAATCAATATTTTTCTTGAAATCCAATATACATTTGATCAAGTCTTAAATAAATATTAGTAATATATTATGTACTTAAAATTCTTCTTAAAAAATATCAAAGAGAAAAAGGAACGAAACATCAATATTTA